CTTAACAAGTTCAAACAAAATTCGTTAACTATCATCGGGAAGGGAAGAAAGAAGGAAATTCCAACACGTTCGCCATTGATTACCATTCTTGGCCATATCCGATAACGTTTCGAGCCATCGATTTGAGCTATCTCTCGGACCCCACCAGGGAGTCGTGACACACCAACCGATGCTAACTCTTCATCCCATTACGCCACGTCATGAACTGAACACCCCTCCGCCTTTTCCATCCCGTCCAAGCGCTGGCTAGGGAACAGAGACCTGTACGAAAGCCTCTGGTATGACATTCGAAGCACATGTCCAAGCCACTGGAGCCGGTGTTTCCAGATGACGACACTCAATGAATGGTTATCTCTACTGTGTTCAAACACACGCCTCCGAACCTTAAATTAATCACATGATGATGCCACCGAACTCAAGCAATCGTGCGGAGAAAGCGATGATTGGTCACACAGAGTCGCCGCACATCCTCAGCCTACTCGGAGAGGCCAGGTCTCACAGGCGCAGAGCAGAGCATCTCGCAACGAGGCATTGTATACCCGACCTTTGACAGCCAGGCTAACATCGCGACGGTGCCACAGGTGGCTCAAGTTGGTGTATGTCACCCTAGCCTTCATTATACTGTTGGAAATCCCATCCGTCACCCCTCCACCAGCACTTACACAACTACCCAGGTACACAAACTTATCAACAACTTCAAGCGGTTCACCCGCAAGAGTGAGTGCAGGTACAGGCTCCTGCCAGTATTGTAACAGTACTTTTCACTTAGATGGAGCAAAGCACATACCATACTTACAGACACTGATCGCAAACTGATTAAGTGCGATTTGGGCAGCCTGCATGCTATCGCACAGTAAGACAATATCATCTGCATACTCGAGGTCGAAAAGTCTATCTCCAGGTAGCAGATCTACACCACCTTCACCCACATCCTTCACAGCTGACTCCAGAATTTCATCGATGGCAAAGTTAAAGAGAGATTGGGCAACCCTGTCTAATCCCATTGTTGGTTGGGAACGGTGATGATAGTTGGTTATATGCCCTCATTCTACCCGAGGTGTTAATTACAGAAACAATCAGTAATGCTGACCATTTAAGCTGATAAATAGAATTAACGAGGTTTGATAAGTTTCACTTATATTCCCTGTCCGATAAATTTTCGCAGGGAAGTTTGTCTGAACAGTTTGAGAATGTGTTTATTGGTTGCCTTAAAAATAAGCAAAAACGCAAGTTGACAAAACACCATGGTTTGAAAAGAGAGAAAAAGAACTACTGACTAAAGTAAAAAACTCAACATGTAAGTGCTAAACTTCAGCACTGTGACAGAATGTAGAGCTATCAGGCAGCTATACGGCCAAGATATAATTCCAAGCACATGAAACCACTACGCACCACACAGTTTTCTTTTGATTTACTGCTTGATTCCACACTGTATTTTTGGTACAAGTATGGAATTTTTAGCATGTGATATCGGTAGCCCAAATTTCGGAGGTCGACCATAGACATCAGGTGTGCGTCGGTGGGGGATCGAACCTCGGAGCATGTTCATGGTCGGTGAGAGTCCTAACCACTCTGCCACCAACGCAATAATAATAACTGGATGACATTTTTAACAAATTTTATTGGTCATTGTCATATCAGTTTATTACCTTAGCTTCATAATTTGCTTGATAGATATTTTCGCCCTCTTCTCTTGTTATTTGTTGCTGTATTCCGTATCTCCAGTATAAATGCTGCATCATTTAGATTGCAGACGTTTATTGTTGATTTGATAACCAAAGATTCAGTGATTAACCTCTTTCTCCACGAAACTCTATTACTTTTGATACCTAATCCCTGTCACACCTGATTATGTACATGTGAAAGCACAACAGTGGTAGATATTCAGCTTGAATACAGTGGTCAGGACTCTCGTCGACCATGCACATGGTTCGGGGTTCGAGCTCACGCCGACGCACACCTGATATCTATGGTCGGCCTGCGAAATTTGGGCTACCGATACCCACGCTGAAAATTCCATACTTGTACCAAGAATATGGTGTGGAATCAAGCTGTAAATCAAAAATAAAAAATATAGAAGAGTGAGACGTAGTGATCTGTGTAGATCAATACACACCTTAATCATGGATTTGTGTAATGTTGAGGAGGATCATGTGCAAACATACCCAGTAAATGATAATTTCACCAATAAGACTCGAACTCCTCAGTCCCCATTCGAAATGCCAAAAAAAGACATCCGGTATTTACTAGTGGGTTACAGATGCGCAGCATTTTGGTACCTTATAAACCGATTAGCAGCAATGCAAATACAAAGTGATTTAAAGAAACACCTTATCAGTCTGTACTTATGTTTTATTGAAATTGAACTAGTGGTTTCTCAGAAACTTCATATATTTATTGATAAAAAGACAGTTAAAGCGAATAAAATTTTCTTTTCGATGAAGTCATCAATTAAGCTGTATATTCATGTGTATTTATAATATATGGGTGGGAAACTTCCAGAATAACCTCCGGTAAAGAGTCAAATTATTATAACTACAATTTGAAATTAAAATGCCATAATAAACAGGAGGACGGATATCACCCAAACAAAAAAGGCATCATAAATTCTGAGAAGATTCACATTGACTGTGCAATTTGGGATTATAAATGTAGAAATAACAAAATTTACAGGATGTTCTGGATAAAAAATCTAGTGGGATTATAACTAATGTGACGAATAATTGTTTATGCAGCTAGGAATTAAATATGTAGAAATTACAAAATGACAAATAGACATGAAGTCTGGATAAGAAAAGCAATGGGATAGTCACTATTAGAAGAATTACCTGTTCATGATGGTCATGGTAGGGACAAGCTTCGGACGTATTTCTTTTGAATGCGTAGCATGGGTTTGAGCTTTTGGATGGCTAGTGTCTCAGCTATGCCCAGATGCCTTGATTTTACTCCTTTTGATAGGTTTGATCGAGTCTTGTGCATGATTTTGAAGGATTTTTTGATTGTCGCTGAATGTTCTGAATTGACCAGATGTTCTGTCACTGAACTATATACTCATTTTCGTTCTCCTTTTACCAGCCAGGCTGGATAGTGTTCACAAGCGCGTTATTCAAGTTGGCGCATGGTACAGCCAATGTACTCAGCTTCGCAAGACCAAGAAAACTGGTATATGCACGGCGATATCTATGATTCCGAATAAATCAAGAACATTGGTTTGTTAATAATAAAGTGCTACCATCATTGTTTATTCCATTAGCATCCCATCACTTGCTCATAGACTAATAATATTATGAAGTTTATGTATAGAAACTATTTTAACATGATCAGATGGTTCAAACTTAAACATAAAGTCAGTGTATTCATACAGTGATCATAATTATAATATTCACCACTTTACTTCAGACAATAATGATCAGTTTTCAGCATTACATAAAAACACAGTTCTATAGACTCATGAGAATATGCTCTGCAGACAAATTAGAGGAAGACTTTCTGTTACTCAAAAAGGTGTTGAAAAGCAGCAGTTGCCGTCAAAGATTCATTATTAAGTACGAAAGATATGGAGGGTTCTAATGCCAAACAAACCACACCGGGGAGCTGCATAGAATGAGATAATATTGCAGGAATAATTAATAGAGGACTGAGAACTTCTCTAGCCAGAGGTCATTCTGCAACCAAATCAAGCTTTTTACTACAGACAAAGGTTCAAGTATTGGGTTTGTAAAGAATTTGTTTTGATTCGTTGGAGGATCGCATCATCAGATGATATTAGTCAGAGAACTATTGGAAAACGTTGGAGTAGTCAGCAGCTGTTTTGTTCTGGTTTGAGAATCTCCATCAGTAAGCAACCACCAGGGTTGGGTAGTAACTCATCGAAGGTATTGCTAAGTGGTTGCGCTACGTCATGAGTCGTCAGAAGTTAGAATTCATGGATTATTAGATCGGGTCCCAGTGGCTGATGAATGGTCTGAGAGTTGGCTCGCCTTGTAACCAGAATGTCCTGATTTCGAACTCTGATAGTGGGCACCTCCTGGTCAAGAGTACAAAAATAGGAGGAAACAGCAGTTCAGTGCTCATATGTCAGCTCATGATGAAATCCTTTAGCAATCAAAGGTCGACAGATACCCTCCCTATTTTATCTATAATTGTGTATACAAGTTTAAGTGCACCTGTGGGAGCACCTGCATTACGAGAACAGAAATAAAATCACATCTCAGATTCTCTGAGCATGTAACAAAATGTTTACATCTCAGGTGGACATATGCTTTCAATACTACCACTGCTTAGCATCACCTTGATACGGATCATGAGTTAAACGTCGCAAGATCCTTCAAATTTATCAGTTGGTAAAAAGGAGTCCTATTCTCTTCAGATTGACTGAAGCAATTTAAACCAAGCAACTGAAACACGATTTATCTGTTTACAAATAACCAGCTATCAGTCTTTAATTGTCTTGACAACTGAATATTTACACGTAACGCTAAAAAAGCCGTTTGTGTATGAAGCGACTAACTTTATTATTATTATTATCACTGTACGCATTTTTCGTCTAAACTCGAACCCTCTAAGTATATTGAAATTAATTATAAACCTAAACTTCATAATATCTTTAGACTGTGAGCAGTTGATAAGAAAGCGACGAAATAAACAATGATGGTACTGTTTTTTTTTAAATTTGAACAAAATGTTTTTCCCTGCATTATTCTAAACGCTGATGACGCAATATATGCTTTGAAATATATGCCTGAAAAATTCATTCCGATTTTTTTAAAATTTAACTTGAAAAGAGAAAGAAGCGGATGGATAAGATTTTGATAAAAAAAATATTTAATTTGGTAAAAATAAATCGGATAACTTAGCTCCTTTTATGCTATCAGAAGTAAATTTTAATTCAATGCCTAGCCTGGAAAAAAATGTACCTCAGCCAATCAAATGTGCTGGCCAATAGCATATGTTCCATAATATTCTTTCTTGTGCTACCGATTCATTCATTTGCGCTTAAATTATGATTCAAGCTTTATTTGATGGATAAATTATCTTTGTGAATGGATTAGTTTATTGTGTACAATTTTTTCTCCCAATGTGTTCTACAGAAAGACAGATCTCTCTCTCTCCCTGAAATCTCATGCATTTATTTCATAACCTTCGGCATGATTTGAACTTGTATATTTTGTGATGTGTTGTCTGAGATCAGTGGAAATCTAATCCTGTCGTAGTCATGACTGTTGCTAAATATAAATGCTACTCTATTTATTAATGTATTCTTTAATTTCACAAGAATAATTTCAGCATACCTGCTTTGTATGGATCACATTATTTGGATTATGTGGATTCCTTTTCTATTATTCAGTAGACAGAATTACGGTGGTAAGTTAGAAGACCTTCAACGTTTATTTTTTTTTGAACTTTTGTGAAGAATTACCGTTATTACTTATTTTCAAGTATTCGATTTGTAGGGATTTTCTCTTGATTGCATGGAGGATTTCACCATGAGCTGATATCAGGAGCTCAGTGGTCAAACGAGCTCGCCATGTAACCAGAGTCCCAAACTAGGATGAAACAGCTATTTTCCAGTGGTTCTCTAACTGATGTCAGCTCATGCTGAAATCCTCCATGCAATCAGACAAAATCCCTACAAATCCAATAATTAAAAATTAATCTGATGCTCACTAGTAACTAGCCCTATTCAGGCAGTTAACCTGGGGATCTAGTGGGAAGCCGTGACCAGTAGGGTAGAGCAGGTTAAAGATGCGGCAGTAACTCATCGAAGGAGACATTGCGAAGTGGTTGCGCTATATCGCTTTTACTTATGATTTTTCTTCGGTGTCTCCATTTTGAGTAAAAAATTAAGACTTAGTTGACGTATGAACTCATGGAGTGTCTGCAGCATGTTTTAGGATGGTCAGAGTGCTTGAATCTCAGAGCAATGTGGGTAATTGTTGTATAGAATTGTGAGAAGTCTGTTAACTGTCCAATTAGTTGATTGGATAGTCAATATCCTACTTAGCTCATTGTGGTAACCAATTCCAAGCTTCCTGAGAGTATGGCTTTTATGACGGAATCAAAATTATTATTTAAGCGGTAAAAATTTTAATTTCCATCTGTGTTATTCTAGTCCTCGTTTACTTTCATGGTCACATACTCACAATCCTTTAAAAAAAGTCATAAAATTTCGTAAATTGACCCAAGATATTGTTCGCTTTGATAATGTATGACTGAGTAAAATACGCAATTAATAAATGTGACAGTGGTATAATTAAAATGGTAAAAGAATGACTTTCGGGAGTTTTCTTGGAATTTTACCCGGATATAAGAGGTGTTTCTTATCCCTTGATAAGATATTTCATACGACACATGAAACACTGAACTCTATTAATCTTATCATATTACTTATTTGCGTATAATTATTTAGAAATCGTTTGTCTAGGTTCATTTATCTGAAAATATTTATTTTAATAAGGAATTATATTAGGATGTATCGGGCCATGTCAAATGATTTCAACATACTTTGGCTCAGACATTAGATCTAATTAGACTTCAACGATTCAGATCTATTTCACCGACTCAGTTCCAAATTGCACACACTCTTCTGTCGGCTATTGTGCTGTGGCAGTGGCGGTGACCTGTTTAAATCACCACGCCATTTCTATTTTCCAATAAAATGCGTCTTTTTTTACTGTGTTACACATTGTTTAAATGATCTAATTAACACAAAAGAGACAAAATCTGTAACCGCGGACAATTTGAAATCAGTTTCTAACTTTGGGTGAAACAATACTGCTTCAGATGATATATACTAAGAGATTATTACATTATTTGATGATTCTGTACATTAAGTAAATATCCCACTTTGAAAGTCGCTGAATTATCCACACTGTGCTTGAACACATATCTCAGAATTACTTTTAGTTGAACGAAAGTCAGTTAAATTACAATCAAGTATTCCGAAAACGTAAATTTAGAACAAGACATGCATGGAACAATACGGTTTTTAGTTAGATCTCATCAGCTCTAACTCTACTATACACAAAGGAATATTAAATGTTAACCAGCTATGCGAATTTATCAATACGATTACAAGATTGAGCATATAAATTATAAGTTTTAGTAATAATAAGAATATGAATAGTAATAATTCTATTGATAACAAAGATGAAAAAGTGGAGAGATTCGTGCATCGGTTGCACGGTGGTTAGGACTCTCACCGACCATGCACATGGTCCGAGGTTCGATCACCTGCCGATGCATACCTAAAATCAATGGTCGACCTGCAAAATTTGGACTACCCATATCACATGCTAAAAAAATTCATACTTGTACCGAAATACTGTGTAGGCTGAATCTATAATCACGAATAAACAAATAAATAAAATAAATAAATAAGGAGAGCGTAAATAAACAAACAAATTTCCAAGTAGAACTAGTCGATAAAGGCTAAGAAAAACAAATAGTTTAATTAAAGGATACAAGATTGTAAGCTAGGTAAATAAACTTTGTTTTGTTGAAAATGTGATGAGACCAAAGGAGGGCAAAAGAAAATAATAGTTACATGAATTCATCATGAGCTGCCATTTGTTAGGGAACCATTGAAAAACCTGGGAGTACTGAACAGCTGTTTCCCCGTCCTAGTTTGGGACTCTTCATCAGTACGCATCCACCGGGGTTCAAACCCAGAACCTTCTGGTTACAAAAGCCAGCTCAAATATGACTAGACCACTGGGACCCGATCCAATGGCCCATGAATTCTAACTTCTGCCAATTGACGACATAGCGATACCCCTAGCCAATGTCTTCGGCCAGTATTTGTCCTCACACCCGACTCGCTGCACCCTACTGGTCACGACTTCTCACTAGAACCCTAGATAACTTTTGCTCGCTGACATATGTGGATATGAATTCAACTAACGCTGAGCTACGTGTAATAACCTAGAACACTGCATAGCATAGTTCTGTGAACAGGTTATCCTTGCAGATTTCTTTAATTCTTAACCACGTTCTTGTCCCTAAACACAACAACTAATAGGTTTATTGTCTGTAATGAAATTTCCACTGACCCTTCTTCATACAACTACTTTGGAAGATTTCAAGCCGTTCTAAGAAACATTCCTTCATTTTGTGATGTACTGCCAGGCTTCGAATAAACTAGGGTCGTTTAGAATTTCTTTTCATTCGTGAAATACTGCATTTTCTCCATTTGGACATCATTTAGTAGAACGATGTTCACAAGCAGCATAAAATACACTGCAAGCTTTCCATGATTTGGAATTCGCTGTATGTCAGGCCGCACAAAACTTCATTTTGACAGTGTTAATTATAACGTTGCACAAGGTAATTTCAAATGACAAATGTTGGGTTTATTTTATGACTGTTAGGTGGTGAGACAGAAGAGTACTGTATTAAAAGATTGAGGTTCTACAGAAATCAGAGTCAATCAGTTGGATTCACAAGCATAAAATGTAAATTACGAGAGTATAGAGAGAAAAATTCATGAAGGCTTTACAACAGATGGGTGTAGACAAAACCTTTCGAGAATTCAAATCGTTAATCTTCCCTAGCAATACTTCTTACCGTAGAACAAACTTTTCGGTCAGGCAAAATTAACACCCAACAAAACCTCCTTTTCCAGTTTCAAGTTAGATAACGAATTGAAATCATAAGACTGAGCACATAAATTATGCGTTTGGTAATAATTCTATTCATAACATAGATGAAAAAGTGAAGCGATTCGTGTGTCGGTGGCACAGCGGCTAGGATTCTCGCCGACCATGCACATGGTCCGAGGCTAGAATTCACGAGCTACTGGATTGGATCCCAGAAGCTTAATGGTTTACGGGCTCCCCTTGTAAACAGAAGGTCTTGGGTGCGAATCCTGGTGAGCGCGTACTGATGAAGATTGCCAAACTAGGACGAAACAGCTGTCCAGTTTTCCAATGGTTCTCTAACTGATGTCAGCTCATGATGAAATTCTGGAACCGGAATCAGTTGGAGAATTACTGCACAGATGCTTTCACTATGTGCATCACTCTCTAGCACCAGATACCCCAATACCCTATCATGAATGCAACATAAAATATTTAGGCTGTTATGGCAGTCTGGAGGATAAAATCCAATTAGCTGTGAAATTTTTTAATTTTAATAAACACTTTTCCACCGTCTATCATTGACATCGTTCACCGATATGAGACAGTTTTATCTTTCCAAAGATTATTCATGGAACTTTCTAAATAAGGAGACTAAACATCTCACCTTGTACATTTGCTGACACTATGTCTGAAATCATTCCAAATAAAAGAGTTCAGGATTCAGTGTGAATTCCATATTCAGTCTAGATGTCCATATGAAAAAAAACACAAAATCAGAGTACTAATTAGCAGAAAACAAATGGAATCATTTCAAGCCACGTGAAATGTGCAAACTAAATAAGTTAAAATTATATATGTCCAAACCAAGTTCACTTTTAACAGTTTTAAAAAATATGAGGCAGTGGCTATATGATATTCTTTATAATAAAGGTTTTCAAGTCTTCTTAGACGAGCAAACTCTCTGAAAACAGATGAGAAAGAAAAAGAAGAAGAATCATCGAACATTACTGAAGCTCTCAAGCAAAAAATTAACTACCCAAGGAACTTCATCAACAAAATCAACACAGACATTAAGTATGGCCGAAATCGTATTTTTAAAACATGGACCTTGACAGTCATCATTCCATATAGAGCAAGGGCATCAGACGATATCAGAAGAGTACTCAATCAACTCGACATCACAGTTTTCTTCAAAACATCAGACACACACACTGAGAAGCAACCTTGTCCATATAAAAGACCAAATCCCAAACGATTCTCTATCTAATTGTGTCTATAAAATAAAATGCTTGGAATGTGATGCGATCTGCATCGGACAAACATCTCGAAAAATCAATGTAATCAGAAAAAATGAACACCGTAGAGCATCTGTTTGACCACTTAGAAATCCAGTTAGTGAACTAGAAAAGCTTGAGAAATCATCAACCATAGATTGTCTCTACGCTATAGAGTCAGGCCACAAAACTGATTTTGACAATATTGAAGAAATCCAGAAAAACATAAGAAATCACAAAGAACGTCGTCTAATATCAGAAGTACTTTATATCAAATGGAATCCAAATTGCCTGAATAGAAATGATGGACTAAAACGGAATCTCACCTGGTGACAACACCCCTTCCCCCATGAAGTGATAAAATCAACACAAATGTGATAAACAAGTTCACTATGTAAACACACACTGCTTTTACAATTTTACACATTGATTAAATCTAATTACAAATTCGCCAACTTGATAACGAAAAATGACCCCATACTGACAAACGATGATCAAGTTAGTAAACTTT